TATATATACACTCGACGCCAGTATTTATGATGTAGGGTGCAAGTGCAAGTATTAAAGAACTAGATTGTTCCACGTATGTGCAAGCGTGTGAAAACATTTCAAAGAAAGTTAAAACGTCTGCATAGACAGCAGAGAAGGTTCCGGGTTTGAATTCCAGTTAGGGAAACTATATGACAATTGCAGATTTATATGCATATATACATAATGTATGTGTATATATTTAAATCATAATGTGCGTTTGTGTATAATTATATAAGGCCTAGACTCATAATAAAAATATTTAGGTCACCCATAAATAGTACGTTTGACATTGGTAGATAAGGGAAATTTATAATCATGTAACAGAAAAACATAATTTATATGAACCTACATCATTGCATTTATCGCCGAGAATCTCTGTACAACCAGATCGCTCCCATAGTGTCCCCATCCATGTGCTTGTTTGTTGAATCGATAAATGTCCTCCGTATTTATCCGATTCTAGATCTTGTATGAATTCCATTGCTTCCATTAGCGGATCGCGGTTTCCTAGAATGGGCTTAAAACAGACGAAATAACTTAGGATCATCAATGAAAACGCCATGTACTGCATCATGACTTTTCTGGTTGAAATATAATCTAATAAAGCAAGTACCGATACTTGCCTTAGATAGTGCACACAACTCTCTTTCAAGTGTTTATTTATTGGCTAATTAAATGGAATATTCCATTTAGAAAATAGGAGCGTTTTGTTTATTCGTTTGTACTGTAAGTTGCACATTTAAATATATGTGCAACATGAACTATTATTAATACAACGTTCATGAGCATTATTTGTTATATCCGGGGGAGGGGTGCACCCCCGTTATTGATTAAAATAAAAATTAAAATGCCCATTAAATTACCATGTTTCGGTATCTAGTCCCCAATTCTTAAGATTTTAACACCTCGGCCTCATAAACGCTCAGGTGGATACAGCACTTTTCGTAGATTTTTGTATTAAAGTACCATTTTCCGGCATTTGAAAATCTCAAGTTCTTAAAATGTTCTCACCTGAGCTCCAACCGGCCGACCTCAGGTGGATATGCTAGTTTCTTGTAACTGCCTAACTTCAGCCTGAACCATGGTGGCTGAGGTGGGTATAAATTTTAAGTAACCAAAGATCCGTTTTCGGGCATCAACTAAGTCTCAATTTCTTAAAATTTAAAATTTAATTATATGTTCCGCCCCCCCCCCCCAAACCATGGTGGTTTCAGGGGGATATGGTAGATTTTGTAATTGTAATATTCAAAACAGTACGGTACTATTTTCGTGAACCTCGTACCTTCTTAAAATTTGTTCACCTAGCCCCAACTATTTTCCTAGATTTTATGTATTAAAAGTGCCATTTCCCATCATATAAAAGTCTCAAACTCTAAAAATCGTCTCACCTGAGCTCCAGCCATGGTGGCTCTCAGGTGGATGTGGTAGTTTTTTTAAATAGTCTTACCTCAGCCTCATCCGACCATGGTGCCTGAGGTGGATGATAATTTTAAGTATCCAAGTCGTTTTGGGGCATCTATAAAGTCTCAAATTCTTAAAATTTACTCATCTGCGCCTCAAATATTTATTTATTTATTCCATGGGCCAACCCAACAGTGAATCACCGCCAATATGTGGGGCTCAGGTGGATATGGTAGATTTTATAATTGTAATATTCAAGTACTTTCGGCATCACAAATCTCAAATTCTGAAAATTTTCTCACCTGAGCCTCAACTATGGTGGGGTTCAGGTGGATAAACATTTTTGGTAGTTTTCTTATCCCATTTGTACAGTCTCCTGATGAAGTCCACTGTGTGGACGAAAGCTAGAGAATAAATTATATATTGTTAGTCTCAAAAGTGCTGCTGTTATTTACTTTATACTTTCTATACTGTACAGACTAACGCGGCTATACTTTTTATTCATTGGTAGTTCTTGTAATTGAAAGTATTCAAGTGCCATTTTCGGGGACGTGTATAGATAGTCCTAAATAATTTGGGTTTTTATTTTTTTTTTTTATCAATTTGTCAATAAAAGAATTTTAAAGATAATTTAATTTCAATTTCCAGGCAACCAGATGCAGGCCTACAAAACCCATGGTAGCGCTTACGTGGTGTGAACTCTTACTTTCATCAGCACCCCTTTCCTTAAATCCTGGATACGCCACTGTAATTAGTCTTTCAGAAGAACAGAATCGCTGCATGATATGCAGCCACAGAAAACGTCCCATATTAAAAAAATGAATATAAATATCATAACTTTCTAATCACGCTTAAGTTTATTCACATTTCATTCTATCCACCCTCAAACTGTGAGCAGCTAAGTTATCATAAGCCTAAGCATCATGATATCATCACACATGAAAATATCTTAAATTTGAAGAAATTCAAAGTCTATAAACATACACCTGAGAATCCGAGCATCTAGGACAAACAATTTTTTATAGCATACGGCACGACACGCACGACCTACCCCCTGTCGGGTGTCGGGTAGTGTAAATATTTTTGACACTCCGGTAGTCCTTATAAAATAATACACTTCAGGTCTTCTTCATTGCAAGCAGGATGACAAATTGTTGTATGTTGTCATCATAAAAAGAAAAGAAAAGAAAAAAAAAACCTTAGGCCCCTATCTGTTATTAATATTATTCGGTTTATTTTTTAATGTAGGCCTACGTATAGTGAGAGGGCAAGTATTTTTGACATGGGCTTACCACTTTCCTTCATATCTGTCGGCCTATTACATGTTGTTTGTATTGTCGTGTCATGATCAGCTTAGATAATAAAAATATAATATTATTATATGCAAACTCTTCAGTGGCAAGCATGATTTGGTGTCCCATTGTTGTCGAACTTTTTTGTTAAAGACTTGCAGATCTGATTTTTGATAAAATGTGGACCATGAAACCATAACAGTTGATACCGTGTCAGAATATAGGAACTATAGTGAACGATAAACTTAAATGGAACATAAGCTCTAAAGTCAAAGATTATACTTCTTAAGAAAGCTATGACGTCTCAAATTTTACATAGATATAGACATAAGTTATCGGTTTTATTTTATCAAAGTATTCTTTTAAGTAATGTTTCATATAGGCCTAGGCCTATTTCTTGGTACTATGGCAATGCTACAGTTAATGGCAAGAAGAAACACGAGAGTTTGACAATTGCCCAACGCATCATTAATACTACAATACTGACCTTACACCAATACTGAAAATCTGTGGCCGTTTAAAATTACATAGGATAATGAAAGATCTCTGCACTCTTATAATTACAACAGATCATGGCATCAAGCCTTTGCCTCCATGATCATCACTTTGTAGATAGAAACATTTTTGCCACATAGTACGGTATCTGTCTTTTTAATTTGCAACTCGGTTTTCTCAACAGTCTGAACATAGTTTGAACAGATTTTAAGAATTGTAAAAGTCTCATTCAGGTTTTTTTTTTTCTGATTTCCCCTTTTCGTGTTTGATGCTTATATTTAAGAATTTTTTTGACTAATATTAAACGTGTAGTGTTGTGTTTATGTAAATTTCTTTTCTAACTATTAAATCTTGTCGTTTAATTTAGTTTTCTTAAATCGCGGATTTTTTTAAATTAAGTATTAGGTATAATATTCAGTTATCGTATTCCACGGGCTCTCAGTATAAGATATTTAATAATTAAATAATTAATCAAATTAATTATCCATCAAACATCCACTAACGCTTTTAACCTTGCAAATAAGTAGTTGCAGGCTTTGTATCTACGAATTGCCAAACTCATACTCAGTTTGGTTTCAATTTATTTGGATTAATGCATACGGCCCACCTTTGTGCATTTTTATCTCATAGGGTTGTCTAATTTGCAAAATCACACCTTTATAATTCAATATGTGACAGTAGGCATTTAATAATCGATTAGGCCTACATCTGTGTCACTTTGTACTTCGCACAGCTGTTTGAGATTCACCATTTCTTATGAACAAACACAATCACATCCTATAGACGTTTGTATAACAATGATTAACTATAATTGCAAATCTTAATCTCTTTAATCAGTGGTGGCGATAGTGGGACATAGTGAAAAGGGGTCAAGCCCTATTGAACAGGCAAGGGGATTTCCTCCGTCGTTCACGACTCATCCAACTCCAAACAATACATTATATATATATATATTTATATATAAATTTTAAAAGGCAAATGGGAAAAACCCATAAAACAGCAAACACCCACATAATACAAAACTATTTAAAATTAAAACGGAACAGTAGAGAAAATCCAATCAGAATCTGAGGAAGGACTAGTGTTGTCCGAAAGCTCTGGTTCTATTTCTGGCTGTTTACTTACGTTTACTTTTTAGCTGTTGCTTATCATTTTTGTATCTCTACTGAGATCCAGCCATTGTATATATATAATTCATAGGCCTAGTATTATTACATAATATACAGGTCTTATCATTTTTTCATTAATTGCTCTAAAAACACCTTAAAATGGCCCATATTGTTATCTGCCTGGACCCGACCAAAGGTTGATTAGTCAACAATGGCATGTTGGTGCTGCGCGTTGAGATGTGTGCCTTTTCTTGGAATTAAGCAGTCTGCATTCAAAATCTTACGATACCTACCATAAAAATATCAAAACAAATTAATGTTGAACTAAGTATAAATAATTCGTTGAGATAAGCCCATTATGACATCGCTTTTTAAGTGACTGTAGATTTGGAAATCTAATTATAAGCTAATTATAGCTGCCTGAAATTAATAAATTATAAACATACATTTAGAAATGTTGAAACATTTTCTCTCAACTTAACACTCTTGGTAGTTTTCGGTTTAGACATCAAAGTGATTTGCGCTCGGATTTGCGAGATATTGGGTGTGCTATCGACTTACAATATGTCGTACAGGTACCAATTGCATGACTATAATGATGGTTATATTGGCCTTTTCATAAAACGTCGAGGAGCCCGTTTTTGGATTGATTCGACACTGCTAATTACGAGGTTTCATTAATCAATCTTTCTGCAAGTCATAAGAACACTCATTGTTTTGCTACAATGGTTTGACTAGCTATCCACAGGTCTCTCTGCAACAACTTTGTGTTGTAGGAATATGACATGCCTACGACAAGACACGAATATGGTTATGAATATATTGGTTATTTATTATTAATGATAAAATCGTCTGCGGTGCAATATAGAAAACCCTAAAAATATCAAATTTTTCGTATCACGTCACGTAGGTCTAAGCTGTTTTATAAACTTCAAAATACTGTAACACACATCAATATGTTTGGAAATTTTACTACAAAATATCCTTACATTTTTGGGCTTACCTTGTGTTTCTGGAGGCCTGCAATGCAAGTTACGATAGTGCACTACGCACTATGGCCCATGGTGCATGTTACAGAACGCAGTGCACTGTTCTTCGGAAGAGTAGGGGATTGTCTGCCTAATTCACCACCAGAAAGACCCCACTGTCAGCAAGTCTTTGGGTTATCCTTGGTGTGATTTACACCAAAATACTCCTACATACATATACGAAAGTTATTAATAATGCCCATTAAAAGAGAAGGTTACCAATTGAAAATAATTTTCATATGAATTCAGTATAAAATAAATGACAACAGCACTTCTGAGACTAACAATCAAAGATCTTATAAACACAAGATTTTACGCGTAACTCATAGAAGCGTTGATTTGGCACAGAAAAGTAATCAGTTTTGGGAGAGGGCGTCCTAGTCGTTGCCATGGATCCGAGATAGGGTGTTACACCAAAGTTTGAAAGTTCGTTACCAAGTACGTTAACTTGTTCCTTATGTTATTAAGAGAGGGCGCATTATAAATCGGACGCTTCTAATTGTTACGCGTAAACGTGAAGTCGTGTGGTGGACGCTGTGGTCAAGGCAGTCAAAGTTTTCAGTTTTACAAGAGGGAGCCGTACACTTCGTTATTACAGAATTTGCACGCGGAAATCGCGGAGAACACTATCTCGTGTTTATAAGATCTTTGCTAACAATATAGAATGTATTCTCTAGCTTTCCCCCACACAGTGGACTTCATCAGAAGACTGCGACACTATAAATTCAGAGCATCAGTAAATACACCACAATAGAATATTAATTCATCCAAATCATTTTATTTTACACACACAAAAAAGAAAATAATACGCAAGTTCGGAGTTGTGGACATGTTACTATTATAAAAAATATATAACAACAACTGAAGTTGATGGGACAGGACAGTTAATAAATACCCACAATTCAAAAGTTAATGAACAAACACAATGTCACTTTTCTATGTTACAGTATTTATGCAATCATTTACCATTATTTGTTCTTAGTTCTTCAACTATCACACAGAACATCTCATAAAATAATTAAAACTGAGTTGCTTTAATTGACAGCCTTAAGGCCTGTTTATACTTCAACGATAACGATAAAAAAGCTAAAAAGCGATTGTTCATATAGAAAACAAAATAAGAGAAAAATTTTACACTAGGATGATTTGATAACCATTTATCGTGTATACGATATCAAAATATTTTAACAAATCAGATGACATAATAATAATGGAAAAACGATGAAATCTTTGCTGCTACTATTTTAATGTTTTCCCTTGATTATGACGTCATCTGATTTGATTTGTCAAAATATGTCATCGCACAACTGATAAATCGTTATTGAATCATTCTAGTGTAAAAACTTCTTATTTTTTAAATTTTATACAATTTATGTACAATTGCTTTTTATCTTTTTTAATCGTTATATAGTACTGTATAAACAGGCCTTAATTCAGCTTTACAACAAAAACAAATCTTACAGATTTATTTTTCCAGGAAAAATAGATCTTGCTTTATAAATACAAGAGTCAGTATAAAGATAAAGTGACAAGTATCTATCATGTGTTATCAATTGCACAGAGGCTATACATAATTGATAATTATTAATCAATAACTAATTCTATAATCAATATGCTTCAGAATGGTGATGCACCATAATATAGCGCCCTCTCCAGACTATTTAGATAGAACTAGTTGGCAAGTTTCTCAAAAATGCTTAAAGTAAAATTACCACTTCACATCTAGCGATTATGTTGTCAGTTAAGTAGCCATTACCAAGTTCTGCTCTAGGAGCAATATACTTTATCATGATGAAAACACCTTATGATTTTGCAATAAGATAATTAACCCAAATAAACACTAGAACTAAAAAAAAAATTTGATTGTCCTCGCAAAAATATTACAGAATCATTTACCTCATTAGATAAGTTCAATAAATTTCCTCAAACTCTGACATAATTAGAATATATGCAAATATTTTTTATGATATAGTGACTGATGGGAAATGTTTACTTTCTATATTCTACAACCCATCACATTAACTATCAACAAATGTTGAGTTTTAAGAACATTACATATATATTTCAAAAAGTGGTATTTCCACATAAGACAAGAAGTAAACAAAGTACATTTGAAACTACAGTAATACAAAAAATATGCAAATTATACGCAGATTAGGCCTGCTGACATCTATGGTATTGGCTGAGGTTCACTGCTGGATAACGTACGGGCCAGCAGAGTGCACAGTACAAAGGCATTTAACTACTTCTCCTCTTCAGATTCTTCTTCTTCAGAGTCTGAAAAATGAGAGCAACATAATTCATTTCTATTTAATTGCTTATTGTAACACCTGTATACATTTGTTCTCATTTGCATATACATAAAATTGAATCTGTTGCATCAGGCTCATTAAATCAGTTTTACCTCCAGGAGAATGGTTGTCAGGTGACAAGTAGCTCATCCTTTGCAACTACAGAACGAAGTGGTTCTTATGTATGCAAGATATTTCATGTTTTCAAAGCGCATAATTCAAACTAATGGATATATCCATTGTCGATTAAAAAAGATTATATATAACTTCATGTTTACTCTCAGTTCACAGAAACAATACACTACTTCCAATAACTATATAATAAAATATAAAAAATATAATATACAGGGCATCATGCCAACAAGGCCAATATATGCTTTAAATTATTACCCTGGTCGTTATGAAATCCACAGTGAGCTTTGGGAGAGGAATAACTCTAAAATAATAAATTAAATATAAATAAATTAAGAAATTAATTAATAATTCTATTAAGGGACCCTAACAGAAGAAATTTTTTTTAAATTTTCGCTTTTAGCCTGCAGTGTGTTCACGATACAAGGTAGAAAAATGACTTTCGCAAGAATGCTGTAATTCAAGTGTGAGCAACCTTATTTTGAAATAATCCGCTCAACTCACCTTCTTCTTCAGCGTTTTCCAGCCATTCCACCATCTTGACCATCTGCTTCAGAAAGATTGACTTGCCCTTAGACAGGTGAAGTTCATGGTACCACTTCAGGATCACATCCTCCGACAAAACATCACCTGCATACAAATTATTTATGATTACATTAAAAAAAAGAAATTAAATGTTAAAATTTATAATTTTCGATTAGTAAGCAAATAATAACTCATGAATGCAATTAATTTAAATTATTTCTTATGCACCTATAAAGATTAACTCGCCGCTAAAAAGATGGAAGTTGACTTCATGAAGACAGGTGATAATACAGTAGTAAAAACATTTAAATATAATTAATTTGAGGGAGATGTGTTAATTTCTGTAGAGATTTTGCTTTCTCGCGGGAGTGTCTCTCATTTTCCGAAAGACTCACATGAATCTTAGGAGACTTCTCCTGACACCCCATGTGACCAAAACTTACGTTGATATAAAAGCATCACAATTTTACTGAATGTCTTCATGAGATGCATGTTGTCGAAACAGTATTCCTAAAATAAAAAAATAGTAACCTTGATCAATATCCTTGAATGTTGACAAATCAAAAACTGTTTAATTTAATCTAAATCTGAGTGACAATAATTTGAGCAATCACATAAGTTGGTGTAAAACAGGTGAGTTGCATCAGGCTCATTAAATCAGATTTACCTCCAGGGAATTGGTCAGGAAAAAATATAGCCTCATCATATGCAACAAGTACCTATAAACCTTAATAACTTGTTTTACAAACCAAATGGCCACTAATAAATATGTTTTCAAATAAAGCTATTATCAATATTTATGGTATTAACACACCCACTGCCATGATAAAATGGTTTTAGTTCAAATAACAAAATATTTATTTTATCATGTCTGATGCCACCATGAAACCTTTTGCAAATAAGTAACCTATATTTCGTCATCAAAAATAAAGCAGTTGGCTATTGTTACACCAGTCTAGCAAATTCCTAATTTTGATTGGATGATATTGTTTGAACAAGTTTGCCCATAAAAAAGTCTTGAAAAACCAAACAAAGCTGAAGATTAAAATCATACCTGAATCTTTAGAATCAGACTAATTTCTGACTTCCCTTGAGTTGCAAAGGCCGCAAACAAAGGCGCATAAATCTGTAAAATAAATAAAAACTTAGCAAATTATATAACTACGTACATTTACATTCCATATGAGTATGGTATGGCATCATCATCTCCATATTTGTACCAATCACATATTTGTAATAAATTATTCATTAATTCAACATCCCATAATATTTCTGTCCACTTACTTTCAGGTGTTTTGTCACTTGTTCAATCACCTGGTCATCTTTCTTGCTCCATTCTTGTGCGGACATTACGCACTTCCAAAGCAACTTCACCACGTCATGCTCTGGAATTGAATTCTTCACCATGATCTCAGACACGTTGGCCTCAATCTGCATAAGTCACAAGGTTACATTAGTATGGAGAGAAATTCACTATCAATTTAGATAACAATAATAATATCGCTATTTAATAGGAATAGTAGTTTAAACCTACTATTCATGTTTCAATCCCTATAATTCATACAGCAAGATCTTAATATAATTTGTAGATTACATGGACATCAAAATGACACTAAACTATACCTGTGCCAGTGATGTAGTTGATATAGTTAATTGATATAAATTACAATGTGTTAAATACTGTACAGGTGCAGATCTAGAAAAAAAACATAGGTAGGTAGTGCCATGTGACTATCCTATGTGTGTGTGTTTACAAAAAGCATGAATTTCACAGTAGCTGTACCTCTAAATTTGCTTAATAGAGTTTTTGATTTGATTCTTGGATAGAGTTTTTTTTTTTATTTATAGTGCTCTTGGTTAGCAGTTTTAAAGGTGATTATTATGCAAGATTTGTTTTGTTAATATTATTAAGCCTTATAAAAAATTAACATCCTTGCATGCATGTCTTCTATGGCATTGAAAAAAAAAATTATTTGAGAGAAAAAAAAATTTTTTTTTTTTAAATTATTTCATTTTTTTAAAGTAAATAATTACTAGATATTGCTGTATTATCTGAATCATGTTTACTTTGAATATCAATGCACCAGCAAAGAACCCAAGGGCGATATTTGGCTTCAGCAAAATAAAAAATAAAACTAAAAAGCCTCTATCCCTCATCACTTTTCTAGCCTAGATAGGGTAATAAACTAAAATTTGTTTAATAGAGCCTTTGCAGGTTTTTCACGATAAAAATATATAATTATAAGGTCTGATTTATTTCAAGTACTGAATTTGTGTGATAACTGGAGTCACATTCTTATATTTCGTTGTATAAATTTATCAACCTACTCCTCAATAATTCCTGATCGCGAGCCCTAGGCTTAGGCTGGCCCAGCCTACTAAGGGTCTAGGTTTGTTAGCCTAGTATTTGTAATTATACTCTCTACAGTTCTGTACTAGGATTCCTACATTTCTTCATTCAAGCAATGGTGTTGGCTGTTTAAATAATTATTTTCATATTATGTTCATTCATAGTGTTTGAAACACTTCGGCCAAAACAGTAACAAACAATTATTTTTTCGAGACCATGAACATCGTCAGAACACTCACATGGTTTAGAAATATATATACACACACATGCATGTGTGTATGTATGTACTGTATGTGTATATTTTATAGTATATGTTAGTTAGAAAATATACACAATTAGTGCATTCCAAAATTATGTTTATTCGTGTAAAAATTGCTCCTTTGTATACTAATGAAATACAACTATACTATTTGCTTATCTAGTATAATGAATAAATTAAAGATTAGAAAATACATACTTCTTTCAATGGTTTCTCGTTCTGAATATACTCAGAAATCTCATCAACCATGTTGTTCTTAATATTTGTTTGCAGTAGGTTTCTCTGTAGAGGATTAAACATAAAAACAAAATTACAAATTACATACAGTCGTTCAAGTAATAATAATAATAATAATATATATTCATTTCCTCAAATACAAGAGGAGGGTGAAGCAAGGACTTCCTTAATCCGTTGGCAAAAACTTATGCATGCTAGTCTTCTTTTTCTTATAATTGTTTCTTTTTAATTCTTATGACGAGCTTTTCACTTTACCTGATATCTCACAAGCTGTTGCAGGCCTGCAGCTTCGAAGTGTGAGGCAAAGTTTTCATCGGTGCGTTTATTAACAGGCAGGAAGTCCTATGCAAAGACAAAAAGATGATTAAATTTGCTTAAATTGACTTTGAAATGTAAAATGTGAAAAGCGGTTTGGCGCAGTGGAAATAGTTTGTTTTCCCAACCTTCTCTCTGAATTTCGTTTGACGTTATCATAAGCAACGCACTTTATCTACATTGGTTCAGTCTACTCAGCTGTACAAATGGGTACCAGTAAATTGGTGGGAGTAGCCTGCGGTGGACCAGCAGGGGGTACAACACTCTCATCACTTCATGCTTGAGAAACTGGGGATAAGCTCAGCCCTATGAGCCCTAGTGGCTAGGCAAGTGTTTACTTTACTTTGAATTGTAAAATATATTTTGAAAAAAAGGACATTATTACACATTTACCATGAGTTTTCCTTCCATCTCGGCTTTTCGCAAGGTGCTTGCAATACTGTTCATGTCCTTTTCCATAAACCATGTTCTAAAAAGCACAATGGCGAATTCCACAGAGATACCTAATATTGTGAACAAAAAAAAATAATTAGATTTTAGTGGGCATTTTATATTGATCTTAGAGCCCTCAAACTGGTACTGAACATTTCTGAAGAACAAAAACAGAGACCAGTATCAAAGCATAAAGCATCAGTGCAGACTACCAACATACCCAAACAAACAATATTCCTAGGCATTATTTTAAAACAATATTCAATCATCTCTCAAAGAATTTCATCTGGCTTCAACAATAGTAATTAGAGTTGTAGTTCTTTGAAGCTACGTTTCGGCTAGCTTCGGTAGCCTTGATCACGCAAATGAAACATAGCTGGTAAGTTCCGTTTCTTATAATTGGCTTATCTTCAAAGAACTACAACTCTAATTAATATTCAATCATTATTACAAATAGAGTAACTGAAAATAAAGTTTGCTCAGAAAAGAAATTTAAGAAATGACATTTGTGATTTTATGTAAAATAATATTTTCTATTACTATTATTAATATTTCCATTTCTATATTTTTGCAAAGTAATTGTGAATCGATTGAAATTACCTTCTTTTACCAGATGCTCCTGAAATAAGCTTGCCAAACATGTGGCAGGAATCAAACCATTCGTCAGAAAGATGGCCGTCAACATTGCCACCTTGTTGCGTTCAGATTCACTAAAACCCTTTAAAAACATAAGGATCTACGCAAAGTAAAAGAAAACAGATACTACATAAGTTTAATAGCAGCATATACGGTTTGACTTAGTGGGAATGGTTTGGTCTCACAACATTGAGGTACAGGTTTTAACCCCTCGCTGTTCATTTTGGTTGTGTCCTTGAGCAAGGCACTTTATCGTGTTGTTTCTCTCCTCAGGAGTATTAAGAACGTGAACTCAATGACCTTAAGCAAAAACGCTTCATATCTGAAAACAAAGGCGTTATATGGAGCGGAGCTGAATAGCTTAGTGGTTAAGGTGCTTGGTTTTAATCCCTGGGTCCTGGGTTTAATTCCAGTGACAGCAGGAATTTTTCTCACAACTTAATCAACTCTACTCCCTATGCCTCATAAAGAGACATGGTTTATAAAGCATTATTCTCATCCTGTAAGTGGCAAGTGCTGTTGGATGTGAAGGAATTAAAATATATAAAACAAATTAAAAAAAAAAAAATAATATATTACCTTCTTCATCTCATCTTCCAGTAATTTTTCCAGATACTTGTAGCGTCTGGTCACCTTGACGAAAACCTGTAGATCAAAAATTCAATATGAACTATGTAAAAACATTGAAGCCTTTATTCTTTAGCATACTGTTGCTCATAATTGGTTTTTGGTTTCACAAATTTACTTAATATGTCGTATTAGAAGACTGCTATTTGGGGCAAATGATTATAATTTTCATATCAACATATCAGATAATGATTATAATAATAATAATTTATTCATTTATATTGCACAAAATTCCATTAAAATATGTTCAAATGCGCATTATAATAAAATAGACAAGGACACAACTTTACAATAAAAAGAGGGAGCTAAAAATAAGGGGCGCCAAATTCTGGAAAGCTAAAATCCAACAGCAATGTACAATACAAAGCATTTTACTAGCACATATTCACTCTATTTTTTTAACGACAAAGGTAAGTTCACCATATGTGAAGAGACTTGCATTTCTACACAACAGACTTCAATTTCTTTAACTTTTGTATAGATATCTTTTAGTTGACACTACCCATTCTCAATTGCCAAAAGAAATAAGCCATGCATTAAACCTCAATTTTTTTTAGTGAATGTGTTTTGAAAGAGAAATGATCTGGATTCATAGTCACCTGGTGGGAATAATTCTGAATGGTCGGGACATCCTCGTCCACCGCAAACAAGCAGACATCACTGCGCGACACTTTGGTCTTGTCTCCATCTTCTACTAGTGTTCCACCAGGTGCTAATAAAAAAAATCAATTGTATCAATTATATATTGTTGGTCTTACAATGTATGCCAGCATCCATTATATAGATACATTATGTTTCATAAAACCTTAAAAACATGAAAGAGTTTTAAAAATTTAATCAACTGGCAATATATCACAAAGAGTGTATTCATAAAAAAAAAACAGGCAATATATCACAAAGAGTGTATTCATAAAAAAAAAAAACCAAGCAAAAAAACCCCCCCTGAAATACATTTACATGCACTAAACTTGCAACAATAAAGCATTGAATGAACATGGCTATCTATGAGTAAGTACTGTATGTACAATAAACACTGCTATATATAGGGCCTTTAAACCAGGAAATAAGACTGTACTATGGTATAAAATGAACATTAATACACGTAGCAACAACCACATCACAAAGCTGTTTTCTTTTGATGATTGACAAACCTTTTATCTTTTGAATTTATGGCTTTAATAAATATAGAGCAAAAACATGAAATACCACCTTATGATGCTACGGTAAATAATAGAATTTATTTTTAATTTTGTAATTTTTAAAATTTCACTGCTATAATACAATAATTAAACATTATCATTTTAATTTTTTGAAGATTACCATTTATAGTTATAAACAGGCCTGAAAAAAAAAAAATTTGTGCCTCCAACCATGAAATTATCTTGATCAAATGCCTCCAGCACCAAATGTTATCTACAGTATACACTATTATAGCTAAACAGTAGTACATTTAGTGGTTTAGAGAAAGCATAAATATCAAATTTATCCTACCAAGAATTCCTCCAGCTATTAAAATATCAAAAAGCGGCTCGGCGTAGCGCCGGTAGTCAAGCTTATGACCTTGGGTGTCGAGAAATTTAGCTACTTGGGCCAGATCAGTTCCTGCTTCGTTAAGCCCTTGCACAATAACATCACGAAATCCACTAGGATCGTATCTTTCCTTCTCATCCCTCTTCCGGACCTTAATCCGTTGTCCTGTGAGTGTTGGTTTTTTCGGCTTTTGATTCATAAAACTTGTTTCTGAAAAAAAAAAAATCACAGTTACTTTAAACAACCAAATACTAATGTTGCTGATCATATTTCCTGGTTGGACTGAGGAAGAACTGAATTGTATTCAGTGAGAAGCAATGGTAGTGAAAACATCATCTTCAGTTGAATAAATCAGGTTGTTACTGTATTTTTCAACAGACTTTTTTTATAAATGCCAAAAGGGCAAACCTAAGGGCATGCTGCTTAGATTTACACTTTTAGTTTGACTTTTTGGTGTTCCTAATTTTTATCTTCGGTCCAAAGAATCATCAAAATGATACCTAAATGAAAAGCTAATTGCCAAATGAATCAAAAGTATCAAATGAATCTAATTACTTAAATAATCAAAAATGAATCAGAATTACTCAAATAAAATTCTCTAATTATGAAACTGAATAGAACACTTGTGAGCACTGTACCCGCCTACCAGAGTTAATACCAACTAGCATATACCTGTGCTCCGTATGGTGTTGAATGAGTGGGAAAGGTGGCGATGTATACTGTTGAACGTTATGGGAAATCAAGCAGGAAATCGGTTAGCATGTTATTATTTTTCTAAAGAATGTCTTTGTAGATAATCTCTTTGTAGATGAGTGTCTTTGCTGGATAGTCCAGTTTGATGAAGGGCGGACCCAAAATTTTTCTAATGGGAAGGGGGGAAAGGGGGGCACACACAACAGTTTTAGAATGGATGAGTAGCACATAACATAATAAGCATTGAAATTTCAAAAATTGAGGGGAGGCATGTGCCCAACCTCCCCACCCCACTGGATCTGCCCCGTTGAATTGCCGAACAACCCCCCTTACTGGATCCGATGTGTTTACGTAAATTCAAGGTCTTGATTGGTGAAGGTGGCTCGACCCTAAATTTCCACTATCCCCCACCCTGTACTGCATCCGCCCCTGTTGATCCGATGTGTTACGTAAATTTGAGGTGTTGATTGGTGGTGCTGACTTGACCCTAAACTTAAACTTCAGTGTCGCTATATGTTAATGTCATGCACTATCGCATTGTGATTTAGCCATATTGACACGGTCCAAATCGACCAGGAATTGAGAGAGAGAGGCCTACGGATGCTGTACTGTCGCTAGGCTACAGTATGCTAGGTTTACGGTAGGGCAGCCTAGGCCTAGACCCAGCCGAAATTATTAGACCTTGGCCTAGCTTGTAATATCATGCCTAATTGTGCCCTGGTAGTTAGCCTAATACCGACTGTTATTAGTCAACATAATAATAGAATGATTGTTTAAAATATATAAATATACTCAATAAGTGTTTTATTTTATTAAACTGTTGTTAAAAATTTAACGTAGCACGACCGTCTAGCAAAAAATGGGGCTTTCCTTAGGGCTGCCTAGAGCAAGAATACGTTGTTAACATGGCTTATAAACAGGTGCGGCTTATACACCGGAATATACGACTGTAAGACTATAGTAATATACTCAGTGTACTGTACAATGGATAAACCTCCATGTTCGTGTGTAGAAGTAGATCAGAATTGAACATGCTGCTCGATTTTTTTTTTTACTTGAGGCATGTGCGGTGATGTAATGAAGGTGATGTTTACGTCCTGACTTGTTAATTTTTAGATCTGAGCAGTGCGGTACAAATTAAAGAGAGGGGATTTACTTATGTGCCCTAGGAGACTCGCGAAACAGGTACGTGATTTTCGGTGATTTTTTGCTGTTTTTTTTCCTTGTTAAATATCCAGCATTGAAAAGTGGCCTACTGTATCCTGTTCGTGACATATAAAATCAATCCCCAGTGTATGGAAGATGAGCACATTCCTGCCAGCGGTTTCAGAGGAGATAGGTGAAGTTACGCGGAGGTAATTAGCAGAATTAATATATAGCTATACTAAATATGATGCTGGTACAGCAGCCTTTATAAAATTATTTCAGACTTATTTAATAAACTAATTTAATAATTTCTAAAATTGTTATCCATTTAATAATTACTAATGATTTGATTCCATTTTCATATTTATCATATTTATTACCACTCTACTGCCAGCGGTTTGAATAAATAGTATCAGCCACCGCCAGACTTTTGATAAAATTTTAACACCATATTGACATGTAGTGAATACTACAGTACAGTCGTGAAATATCGCTTCGTATCTGCGCGTAACCTCTCGTAGCCTGCTCGTAGGTACCGTTTAGAACGTAGCCACGAACCACTACGAAGGTCATTGTTATTTTAATGAGCTACGAGGCTGGGTCGCAGGCTGTCGTAGTGTTAATAAACAGTTCTTGCAGCACAGGTTCCAAGATCTAACATTGTTTATTGATAGCAATTTTATCATTTATTTTAAACAAAGAGTCCAGTACTACCAGACAATTACGTAAAGGTTGCTAAAATTAGGCCTACCTCGGATCAATCATGCTTCGAAATTGCGTTTTTTTTTTATTACATACCATACCGTCAACCATGCGCTCAATCAACCCCACAACGCAACCGCTAGCTAGCTGCTGTAGTTAAATTGACACGATATTTACTTCCTTATTTTGACGAAGTTTCAGTTGATTTTCGTTATCTTCTGGCCAATAAAATTCTCAAATATAAATTACAAAGTCTTGTTATGTTGTTATTGTTGTGCTTTGAAGATATTGAAAATAATTATTTAAATTAATACTTCTCCACTGTAATAACTCAAGTCACAGTGTACCATTTTCAAGTTGTACGAACAGTGACGTGCGTGAACCCATCGACGCTCGAGAGCACATGGTTCGTCGGAAGTACTTCCCTATATAATATATTCAAACTACAGTAGTAGTAGTAGTACCATAAAATATATCTCGATGATTAAATACTGTACGTTAAATTAAACTGCACATTATATATTTACTAACATCGTGAATGATATTATAAAAAACAAAACACGACAACAGTTATTTCTGGCTCTTTTTCTTTATTGTCTGTAAAAAAAACAAATATTTCAGACTGGCGTGTCAGCTGACCTTTTTGGAACGTTGCCAACTAGTCCAGTCTGTTGATTGTCCCAGAATTAATGGCAACAGAAATATTAAATAATTCTTGCGGAGTCTGAAATATACACAAAATAACATAACAGAACTCCGAAAAAATGTAATCACAGGAGCATTGTTAGTTTAATCAGTGTAATTAATGAGTTTATTGTGTCGCATCGCCCAAATGCTGCGTTGAAGTGTATAAAGGCCTGTTGTTGCTAACGAAAAAAAATGTTTAGTAACTTGTGAACGCAGTTGAATCAAACCAGACGCGTTGGTAACACAACGATCAACGCGAAGTTGCGAACACTGTACTCTGCATTGCCAGCTGATAATTTATATCCAAGGCAACCAACAGTGAAAAATCGCCACAAGGATGAACACAAAATTATGTACTCTGCAGAAATACAAGCAGGACAATCCTGTTGATAATACATTTATTTATTTATTTCCATGCCAACAGCGAACCATCGCCACTTCAGGAATGACATAACATGTAAAATATGAACTCTAAATTACATACAGAATTAAGAAACTAAACAGTCAGCGACATTAACTTACACCGGGATACTTCTTAAAATGAGCGATCGTACGTGTTTAAAACTATGAATATACAAATGTTAATATTTTGATTTTGTAATCACCCGAACTGAATATTGTTTTGTATAGGCCTAACCAGTCAGTAGCTATAGGCGCGGCGCAGCCTAATGTAATAAATAACCTCCTGGAAACATTTTTTGTACCACGAATTTTATTTGTGGTTGTATTACCAAAATCAAATACAGTTAGGCCTATGTGTTGGCACTTTCATCTAAATGCATCATCTTTATATTTCGCGTTTCATTTTATTTATTTTTTATTCAAAATTTCATTAGAGCAAAAAATAGGCCTACATGTACTCTATTATGACTGAAATTAAACCATTATACCTATATAAATGTTGAAAATGTTTGCTGGTCCTTTGGGTGGTCTAATGTAGAGTTTCCAGTGTACAATGGGGCCTGTCTATTTTAAATATGAATGGTGGGTGGGAGAAGGACGTAATAAACTATACTTGGGTATCATGAAACGCAGTACTGTAGGCCTACAGGTATTCACCATTTGATTATCGCACATCGTGTTGACAGTATACAGTAGCTCTATCGAAATCGAAAGAAAATGAAAACACCGTTCCATATACGGTCGCGAGTTGTTCGCTATTCTCATATGGGTTTCAGTGTGTCGAAGATTTTAAATATCCTTCACACTGAGGGATTTCGAATCCACAGATCAACTGTCTCTAGGATTTTGAAGAGATTTGAAACCAACAAGAGCATTGCAGATCGTGCTCGACCTGGACGTCCCACCACAGTTGCTGACCACCACTTAGACATCATCGACGAAGCCATGACAGAAAACGATGAAAGGACAGCAAGGGATGTCCAAAAAATTATCCTAGAGAAAACTGGTGACTTCATGTCCATAACTACAATTAAGAAGGTCAGGAGAAAGTTGCAATGGGTGTGTGAGGGAACGCGGTACTGCCAGTTGATCAGGACAGCGAATAAAGTCGATCGTTTGAGATATGCTGTGGCTTGCATTAAGAACAAAGAAACATTTCACGACGTAATTTTCACGGATGAATGTACCGTGGAGTTGGACCACCATGCGAGAATTACATTCAGAAAATTACATGAACCACGCAAGCTAAAGCCGAAACCCAAGCACCCCATCAAACTTCATGTCTGGTCGGGTATATCGCGAAGAGGGGCCCTGCCGATCGTCATATTTGATGGCATAATGCGAACAGAATTCTAGATCAATTCCATTCTGGATGCGGCCGTAAAACCCTTTGCTGGCACCTACTTCCCAAATGGTTTTCGTTTTATGCAAGATAACGACCCTAAACACACGGCTAATGCAACGAAGCAGTACCTAACAGCGAACAACATCTACTGGTGGAAAACTCCCGCTGAAAGTCCAGACCTAAACCCAATTGAACTGGTATGGCACCAGCTGAAAGATTATTTGCGCAAGGTGCACAAGCCCCACACCAAAGATGAGCTCATCGATGGTATCAAAACATTTTGGACGGAGAGAATGAACCCTGACTTATGTCATAATTATGTAAGTCACTTGCGCAAGGTCATCCCAGCCGTCGTTAGAAGGAGAGGCAAAGCCACTGGATACTAATCACTAGCCGACGTCATCGCAAACCAAACAGCCCTTTTCAGGGCTTTAAAATGATCAAAAGAGATTCATTATAGCATTGCTTCCTATATTATTAAATAATCATCAACAATCATCAACAGTCATTCACGTTCACAGATAAACCCCAAAATAAACTTGAAACCATCAGTTCATGTAGTGTTTTTATTCACACAAAACCATTGCCTTACATTATTTCATATTTTATCATTAAAAAAATTATTACGTTATTAATTAGACCTTACTAAAGTATGAAAATACATATTGCATTATACATCATTATGACAATAAAATACACCAGACCTATTATTAAAATTCGCATTGGTAAGAAGGCAGTAAAACATTATTAATTGTAAAGTTTTCTAAAAATTAATTATTGTAAACATAATTTCTTGTTTCTTACTTTAGGCCTACATTACAGCTTGCAGTAAATGTTTCCAATATATTGCCGTAAATTTACGTACATAAACACATTAAAATTAACATAAATAGATTAGCAACAAGACAGTAAAACATCAAATAAGGGCAATAATAAGAACATTAATTATAATAAACATAATTTCTTCTTTTACAGCCTAAATGTTTACAATATATTGCTGTTAATGCACTTAATCATAGACACATGAAAATTAACATAGATTAGCAACAAGACAGTAAAACATCAAATAAGGGCAATAATAAAAATGAGTTTTCAATGCATTAATTATTATAAACGTTATTTCTATCTTTCTTACTTTATATTACAACATAATGTTTACATTCTATTGCCGTTATGTACGTACTGTATTATAAATATTTATACATGATTTAGTGGCTTATACTTTATTGCCGATCCATCTCTACACTTAACCTTCTTAAATTGTCTCTCTTTTTGTTGCGCCTTGCGGCGTCTATTGCTATAACGCAAGTTCGCCATACTTTTTCTTCCAAAGCCTTTGGCACAGGGGAGTAATGAAATGTGAGTCTCTTAACTACCGTCATCCTTTCCGGATCTAACATGTCCGCATTTCGCGTTCCGCTTACGTTGCAGCGCAACCGTTCTTCATCTGTGAAAAAATAAGCAAGCAGGTGCTTTGACACTTTCTTTGTGTCCTCTTGGTCGCGTAATAACTTCATCATTATCTCTCTCGGGAGTTCTTCGCTATAAAGTGGACGTCGTGGTCGTGGTGGAGCAACTGGACGTGATGGGGTCGTATCCGTTTCATGAGTCGTCGTGGGTGGTTGTGGTGGCCCAACTGGACGTGATGGGGTCGTATCCGGTTCATGAGTCGCGGTGGGTAGTTGCAACAGTGCAACTGGTGGTGGACGAGCTGGGGTCGGAGGCGGCTGAGGTTGGTTGGTGGTAGGCCTGATTGTGGGTCGCGATGCTATTCCGGATGTGCTGGGTTGAAACCATTGTTGGGGGATTGGACGTTGCGGTGTAATTCGAGGTGCGGGTGGTTGTTGCTCCAAAGCCACCAGTCGCTGATGCAGTGATAATATATCTTCTGACTGTCGTCCCAATTTCGATTGTTGTTCTGCAACAGTGTTAGACAACTCAGCGTTTTTGTATTCGAGTGTGCGAACTCGTTCAGCTAGCGCTGCGCAACAATCGGCTGTTTTCTCGGTCACCCTCCACTGGCCTGTGCAGTCTGGCGTCTTCTTCCCAGTCGCCTGCTCGTAGTCATCACTCATCTGCTCTATTTCCTGGTCGACGCCTTCCAAATCAACGAAGTCAAAATCAAATTCTCCTCTCACTTTCTCAGCAAACAACTCTTTCCCCGTGTCCAACACTTTTGCAGCCTGTAATAACAACGACAGACAACATTACTGTATAATCGTTAATAACAATAATAATAATAATAATATAATAATAATAATAATAAAAATAATAATAATAATAATAATAATAATAATAATAATGATAATGATAGAGTAATAAGTAAATAATTATTATTATTATTTAGATAGCAATATTCACATTACGATGTGTATCTATTTGTGAATCTTTTGTATTAAAACAATCCAATAATAATAATAATAATAATAATAATAATAGGGCTATATTTAACAAAAAAGTTGCCATTTGTTTTTTAATTTCCCAACTTACAGTACAGGCCTACAGTACATTCAGGGTGAAATTTTTAAATACTTTATATGGTATCAAGTTCATTACGTTTTTTGAGTATTGAGTTTTAAAGAACATGTAAACAGTTTTATAGTATATTTTTACGTGGTACCCACCGGCTTCTCCACGCTGACTTTCTGTCGTTTCTTGCGTCCTTGGTGTGCCTCACCTACTACATCAATTTCCTCTTCCTCCCTTGTCTCGTCACTCTCCGAATCGTCATCATCAATTCCGCCAAGAGATTCCTCTGCGATGAATTCATATCGCACGGCGATACCTATTGCCGTCTTTATCTGAAAACCGGAGAAAGAGGCACTTAATGAAGTATTTAATAGGCCTATTCTAGCATATAACCGTGTTTTTGCGCATATGGTTGTGGAAGAAAAAGTAGCCCTAAGTATATTATTATTAATACTGTAGTAATAAAAAAATATATATATATATATATATATATATATATATGTAATATCAATTTCAAACTCATTGCAAAATAAATGATGAGAATATTTACAAAACAACATTTAATAGGCCTACAGTATTTGGTTCTGTAAGATAATACAGTATTGAGTACTGTATGTTAAAAAATATCCAGGAATTAATATTAACGGAAGACCGTAATAATAAACTTACCTCGCATAGGAACGGGTCGTTTGTTTCAACGGTCAAAGTCGGGGATAACCCACCACCAGGAATCGTTTTACGAAAGATGTCACCACGTTGTAGCGTTCTTAATGCAAGATGAGCAGCGGATATCGTCCTCTTTCGTATAGGGAGCCTCACAAACGTGTCCTCGATCCACGAAACATTGCCATATCCAGCCCACTGGATTAAATGCTTCCCATCTCCAGCTTCCTTCACTTTCCCCGTCAGCCAAATTCCGCATTCTCCATCAATAGCTTGTACAGTGCTTCCGACTTTAAACATTATTCTATTTCAAGATATACTTTTCTGCTGAAATTCTCTAGATCAAATGATAATCTGGAAAACTGGCAGCGTTTTTATGTAATTCTTGGGATGAATATCAAAGCTCCGCTTTATAACAATGAAGCTTTTTTTTTAATTTTTTTTTTTATCAATAAAAATAAAGCTGTCAGGTTGATGCCTGGTCCATTGTTTCTAAATGCACACCAAAACAAAAGTTAGGAACAATACAATACACACGCTGGAGCACCATACCCCACCCACTCGCCCGGCCATGTGGCCGCCCGCTCCATTGATCTCACACGTCGGCACCAGCAGGCATTGATTGGGGGTAATCTGACATCAAGTGATATGCTTTTTATTCTTAATTATAAATAAAGAACGTTATTTTACATCAAGCTGTA